GTGAATCGTTTGCAAATCAGTGGGGGATGCAGGAACAAGGATTCTTCTTTTTCTTCTTTCTCTCAAATGTAAGCACAGAAGCATGGCGGGGAAGCAATAAGTGAAATTTAGTTTTTTTTCTTTAAAATTGACAGACCTGACAGCCATGTCTTTGTCCAAATACGTCATCTCCTTTTCTTTTTAGGGCTTTCAGCACAAAATTGCACAAATTGCCAAGGCAGCGCGTTTCGCTTTAGTGAGCTTCATATTCCCCTTCTACTTGTTTGGCTTCCGGATAGACGAGTCAGAGCAGCGCCATCTCACTGCGGAGCTGAGTCGGACGTGGTTTTTAGAGGTACAGTGTGAGCAGGTAGATCACATCAGAGCATTGGGCCGAACATAAATCGGGAGCTTTGAACTCACACTGTACCACAAAACCGCAGGGTATCGTGGTACAGTTTGAGCAGTAGCTCCACGCAACGATTGGAAAAAATCGCAGTGTACGCATGGCTTAAGTGACTGTTTTTCAAGATGGTTCACAAAAGACGAGTCATACTGTGAGTGCCCCTCAAAGCCCATCACAGTTAAGTTCAAAATAACTTCAATATTTCTAACTGTTTATACCTCAAAAGACATTCCTCTAAACAAAAGATAACAAGTACAGTGGTAAATACTTTTCCTCCTCTCCTATCCAAGTATACAGCTCTGGTGTCATTTCAACTTGTCACCAGAAGGGGTAAACTTCTGTAAAACATTCTGGAATTTACACTATACCCCAATAACATACATTTTCTGTTGTATTCATTTGTTCTGTTGTTTTAATAAAATAGGTCTAAAGTCTAAATTAGGGCTAAAACAATCAGATTAATCATGATTACCGGTAATCGATTATTGAAATAATCATCAACTCATTTAGTAATCGATTAATCGTTAACTGGAGTATAGAGACTGTAAAATATGTATCTAGCTGACAAAGCAGCCCACTTAGAGCAGTAAATATACCAAGATTGTGAAATCAATATGTACAGTAAGCATTTTGCATTCAAGATTAAGAAAAAAAATCATCTGTCAATATGCTCTATCCAGAACTACTCAAGAGGAAAAGCTTTAGTTTCACCTGGTTTAGTTTCATAAAAAATTCTTCTTTAAGAAACCTTTGGTTATCCGATTATCAATTGAAAAAACAATCGACAGATTAATCGATTTGTGAAAATAATCTTTAGTTGCAGCCCTAGTCTGAATGTATTTCAAGTGTAAAATTTACAAATTGGTGTTACATGAAGAAACTGCCTTTTGTTGGATCCTGTCTTTGTACCGACCATTAGAAACTTACTGTAAACTCCCATATCCTCACTGATAAAGAGTTTTTTTTTTTTTTTTTTTTCAAGAAACAGCACCAAATTTTCCATTTTGGGAAAATGTCCAAGTTAACTAGAGGTAAAAATAAACCATACTTATTTAAACCTGTCAGTCCACTCTGTTACCTTCTAACCACCTTTGACACCCTTCATTGGTTGTGGAACACAGGGTGTAGTAGTGCTTGTCTGAGAGCATATGAGCAACCACAACACTTTTCACTCAGTGTTTCCAATTTGAACAGTTGAGGGACAGTCTGTCCACCTCCAGTCAACTCTTGGAATTGTTATTGTAGATAAGAGTGACTCTTCCTCCCCACAACCAGAATTATATTACCCTACATCAAAGCTACATCTTAACAACCAGTTGTTGATCATTTAAACACTGCTGCAAAAGCTTCCTAATGAACTTAATCTTTTAATCTGATTAGAGCAATTTTCAAGTTGTCATAAACTTATTAAAGTCTCCTGTTATCGGTTTTCTTTAGCATCACACTCCTGACAGTCATATCTGGTCATGCAAAAGCGTTTATATAATAAAAAAAAACACATGACAATTGAACAGCCAGTTAAGCATGAAGGTCTGGAAGTCTTTTGAGAGTGCACTAGCTAGTGAGCTGCTCTTCAACATCTACAAGTCTACTCATACACAAAAATCAAACACTGTAAGTGACTAAAAGACTAGAGAACAGCAGATTACATCCTACAGCTTCAAGGCAGAAAGTGATATTCAGTCACCATGCAGCCTAACCACATAGACAAAACTATACGACCACTGTAGCTGATCTACATTTCAGAAAAATGTGCTGAGTGTTTTTTCACTTTTGAATATTTTGGGGTTCACTTTGCGCTATACACTTTGCATGTTCTATAAGAACATGAAAAACATAATAAGATGAAAAACTTCTCCTAATAGGGAAAAAAACTTTTAGAAAAAGAAACGGAAAAAAGAAAGTAATTTAACGTAAGACATTGATTTAGTCAACATTTATGCTTAGCAATAACATTTAGCAGATAACAGTAGGCATTTTTTATTGTTTGCGCTGTATTGTGAATGCATATGCTAAGTTGGGTTACTTAAGGACCGTCATGAGATTTAAACTTGTTTTCCACATTAAAGAATTAGGCAAAAGGGCTAAAGCTAACCATGCTATCAGGTCTAATTCGCTTGCCTTGAAGCAGTTGGCTGAGCGCAGTAGTTATCAAATTATTCTATGAGAACATTTTTATGCTCCCCAGCTTCCCTTGCTGTCACCTTATCAACAGTTGAACAAAGAATGTCAACCTCAGCAAATTACTAATTGCACTGAAATAAACAATTACAAACTCCACAAAACTGCCACCTTTTAAAATGTTATTATTTTAATATAAAACTTGCTGATCTTACTGTGCAACAGAATTCAATATAGTGACCAAGAACTAAAAAAACAAAAACTTAAAATGAGTAATTTATTCACTTCATTTCTATGAATCCTCCTGCAGTTACACTGGGCCCCCTCCTAGGTTCCCCCAAATTTAGGAACCTCTGGCCAAGTGAAAGGTATATTTTGCAACATTTAAAATCAATTGCAAACCAGTAATTGCATTAATAATAAATAATTATTATAAAATTAAAGTTATACCTACTTATTTCATGGTTCATTTGATTATTTCATGGGAATCCATATTTATGTATTTCAGGATATATATTTTATCCTCCATATACCTCAGGTTTAACATCACTCTGATTGTAAAACCCATCTGAACTTCTCCCACTGGGATTCCCGTGACCCTGCAGAGGTCCCGACCCCTACTTTAGCCAGCCCTGGTCTAAAGGAAGTGATGTTGCCTAATGAATAAACAAAAATGATGACTACCTGTCTTGGGAGCAAAGTTAGAGACAAGGTTGAATGCTGGATTTAAAGAAAGGAATAGGCCAAACTACAAATTGCTTGAGGAGAGAGCAAACAGCCAGACTAAATAGATGACTGCAGCTGTTGTTTATTAGCAGAACATGAATTTTTATTTTTCATGTATTGTTTTCTTAATATTTTAATGCTATTATGTATCTTTCAGTCAGTTGGTACCAATTAATAAATCGTCGACATCATAGTAAATCAATAACCATGTTAACTATATTCTATATTCCATGCCTAGATGGGGCAAAAGGAGAGCGTTTCCTATCATTCATTTTATGATACACTATATTGCCAAAAGTATTTGCTCACCCATCCAAATTATTGGAATCAGGTGTTCCAATCACTTCCATGGCCACAGGTGTATAAATTCAAGCACCTAGGCATGCAGACCGTTTTTACAAACATTTGTGAAAGAATGGGTCGCTCTCAGGAGCTCAGTGAATTCCAGCGTGGAACTGTGATAGGATGCCACCTGTGCAACAAATCCAGTCGTGAAATTTCCTCGCTCCTAAATATTCCACAGTCAACTGTCAGCTGTATTATAAGAAAATGGAAGTGTTTGGGAACGACAGCAACTCAGCCACGAAGTGGTAGGCCACGTAAACTGACGGAGCGGGGTCAGCGGATGCTGACGCGCATAGTGCGAAGAGGTCGCCAACTTTCTGCAGAGTCAATCACTACAGACCTCCAAACTTCATGTGGCCTTCAGATTAGCTCAAGAACAGTGCGCAGAGAGCTTCATGGAATGGGTTTCCATGGTCGAGCAGCTGCATCCAAGCCATACATCACCAAGTGCAATGCAAAGCGTCGGATGCGGTGGTGTAAAGCACGCCGCCACTGGACTCTAGAGCAGTGGAGACGCGTTCTCTGGAGTGACGAATCGCGCTTCTCCATCTGGCAATCTGATGGACGGGTCTGGGTTTGGCGGTTGCCAGGAGAACGGTACTTGTCTGACTGCATTGTGCCAAGTGTAAAGTTTGGTGGAGGGGGGATTATGGTGTGGGGTTGTTTTTCAGGAGCTGGGCTTGGCCCCTTAGTTCCAGTGAAAGGAACTCTGAATGCTTCAGCATACCAAGACATTTTGGACAATTCCATGCTCCCAACTTTGTGGGAACAGTTTGGAGCTGGCCCCTTCCTCTTCCAACATGACTGTGCACCAGTGCACAAAGCAAGGTCCATAAAGACATGGATGACAGAGTCTGGTGTGGATGAACTTGACTGGCCTGCACAGAGTCCTGTCCTCAACCCGATAGAACACCTTTGGGATGAATTAGAGCGGAGACTGAGAGCCAGGCCTTCTCGTCCAACATCAGTGTGCGACCTCACAAATGCGCTTCTGGAAGAATGGTCAAAAATTCCCATAAACACACTCCTAAACCTTGTGGACAGCCTTCCCAGAAGAGTTGAAGCTGTTCTAGCTGCAAAGGGTGGACCGACGTCATATTGAACCCTATGGATTAGGAACGGGATGTCACTTAAGCTCATATGTGAGTCAAGGCAGGTGAGCAAATACTTTTGGCAATATAGTGTAGATTGGTCAGTGTGTTATGAATAATGCCCAGGTTACCATCAAGCATCTCTGAATGCCCAAAATGTTTCTTCATGGTGACAAAATCCACAACTCAGCACATGATTCTGTTTTTCGTAGACAGACTCAGATTGTGTTCTGATAGGAAGGACGAGTGTTATGCAGCCAGGAGCAGTGCAGTACAGAACCAACAATCGTGCTGGGTCTGGGGTTAAAAAAGGTAGTAAAATAAAGACACACCTAGAGTTCTGCTACCATAGTTAGCACCCGGCCACCGAGAGACTGGACTGGAAGGGCTTTGATCACCTGTAACAATGTGGGCAGTTAAAGAAAAAAGGAAAGAAAAGGAAGGTGAAAAGGGAGGAGAGAAAAATCCATCAGAGGTGACACATTTAAGATATTGGCATGACTAGTCCCAAAGCAAAAGAAAAATGGAAAAAAAAATTGAAAACACACACACTACAGAAATGTGTGACAGAAAGAGACGGCAAGACCAAATCATATGAGGCAAATTGTAACACACTAGCATGAGAATGAGAGTATACACTTCTTATGAAATAAAAAATAAATAAATCAGCTGGTGTGTTTTACCCCAACACACAGAAAGAGTTCTCATCAGATGGCATGACAATTAGGTTTATGTTATCCTGGTATGTTAACATGTACATTTAAAAAAAAAATAAAAAAATCTTTAGCAGTGTAATTCAAAGAGATAATTTAGATCAACATCAGGAACAAAATGGACATATGAAGGAAACATTTATTGAACTTAGTCTTTTACATAGAAATATTATCCTGCATTTTAGGTAGCCTCTCCTTAATCAATACATAATTCATAATTCAGCGTTTTGCTGATAGACATTGTGGTAGATTTGGAACCACTGCACTTTTTATGTTAAGAAAGGACAAATAAATAGTAGGAAAGTCTTCAACCAGGGATATTATAGCTTGATGTAAAAAAAAAATAATAATAATAATAGAAAAGCTACAGACCTCTAAAAGCAGAGTACCAAAAAGGACTATTAATATTTGAGTATGTTCCTCCTATTTTATTGCTTTATGGGTTAAATACTCAATAAGAAGAGACCAATCTGCCTTAGAACATCAAATGCTAACATTTTAGGTAAAAAACTAAACAGTCTCTTGATGCTAATCGTTTTCATTCCTAAATTGAGGGTAGTTTTTGAAAAATAAGCAAATCTCTTCTTCGTGAAGAGCACTATGTGCACAAATAGATATGATGTAAAGGCAAATGAGAAAGCTGTAGTTTGATGATATGATCCCACTGATTAAAAATCTAAGCTCAATCTCAACAATTAAAAGCTAAATTCCCCTCTTAGTCTCATCCCCCCATTGGTGTCTTGGTTATCTACTCTTATCTTCTGTTATTAGTGACGATATACAGAAGAAAGGGTCTGTGGCTCAGCTGCACAACTCTGACTTACATGTTGTTTGACCCTTACACTCCTGGAAAGCAGAGCTTTCCTGAGCAAGGATCATTTGTTTAGGAATAGTCAAATAAGTTTAGAACAGGATTAAGCTAAATCAGCTTTGGTCATAATGCGGAAGAAGTACTAGTTCAGAAATCCTTGAAAAGGTGAAAAGGGGTTGATGTGGTACAATCTTTGCATAGTGATATAAAGTTTTCATAACGATGGTCAGAAGCAGAGTCAAATGCATATAAAAGCACCATGCGAAACAATAAGACAGAGGAAAAAAATCCTACCAGTTCTTGGTGTCCGTTTTCTCCGATTAAAGGCTGCTCCAGACTGCAGAGTTTCCATTAGTCTATCCATCACACCAGTTTCATCCCCTTCTGCAAGAGAACCAGAAGACAAATGTTTTCATTGAGTATATAGTGATATCTTTACACATGCAGAGAACCTCCAACGCCCTTAAAGGACTATAAGTCTAAGCCAGAGGAGGTCCTCTTTAACTGTACCAAAGGCAATGAACACATGGACAAAGAAAACATGATAGAAATCCAAGCTCTGGTTAGATCAGACCAAATGTAACTATTTGGCCAAAATACATCATACCCACTGTGAAAACATAGTGGTAGGCAGCATCATGCTGTGGTAGCACGCTTTCTGTATAGTAAGAAGGTCCTGGTTTCGAGTCCAGGCTCATGGTCTTTTTGCATGTTCTCCCCCTGCAGACTTGGGATCTCTCTGGATATGGCCGCTTCTAACCAAAGTGCAAGAAATTAATTCAATGGAAGTTAACTCATGACCTCACTTCATATAGCGGGATGAGAATCGATATGAGTGTGTGTATGTGGTTGGGCGTGTATTTCTTACATTTTAGAGATGATTTTACATAATTCATAGCACATCGCAGGGACCAAGTGGGTACAAATGCTGTTTAAGTCTTAGGTTTTAGGTTTAGGACTAAGGTGTGAATGTTAGGTATAGGGTAGGGGTAATGGTTTGACTGTAAAAATGGGCTAGAAATGAATTAAAAGTCATTTAAAAGTCCTTACAAGGATAGAAAAATGTGATTGTGTGGGTGTGTATGTGCCTGTTTTTTCCCCCTCTGTCTATGTATTGGCCTTTGATTCACTGGCGACCTATCCAAGGTGCACCCTGCTTCTCGAATAAGAAATACTGCAGATAGGCACCCTAACTGCAAAATAAGTAGTTGTGGATGATGGATATTTCTCCTCTACTTCATACAAATGCATTACTTTTGGCTGTGTCTTTTTTACATTCTCGTACAAAATGCATTAGAGTCTTGTAATGGGACAAAATCTGAAAAAAAAAGAAGGAATGTATAGAAAGTAGTTCTGCAAGTCACTTTGACTACTTTCACAGTGAATATACCCTCAAGATTCTTTGCTACTGTTGAATTTGGAGAGAATTGTCTGCCACTCAGTTCAGTCAGTTTTTTTTTGTTTTGTTTTTTTAGCAAACAACTGTGGTGGAGTAAAACACACTTAGCTTAGGTTAGAGTTTAGTAGAGAGGAGCCTCAGGATAAAAGCATCGGGTGATGGTCATTGACAGATATTTTTTTCTGTGGCTAACGCAGGGGGAGCTAAGTGCTCTTTACAAAGATTTAGTGTGGAGCCGCTCAATACAGAGGCTTTCTATTATTGTTCAGTCAATGACACTGGGACCAGGCTCCAAAAAACACTCCTTCTACCCACCATTTCATCTGTCCTGTGGATCCATGAAACCAGAGAAGTGAAGGCAGTCAACATTAGGCCATTTAAAGTGCTGTGGCAGGACTAGATGTGCCTATATTGTGCACATACAGCTCTGCTCGGTAGTCACAGAGTTCAAAAATATGCTTAAGCTTCATATCTAGGTCATCTATCTTTGCGCTCACATACTAATGAGCTAGAGGGGCAACCTTTTCATCATTCTGGAGTAGAATAGACATTATTTTAAATATAGGATCATTAGGGTGAGTTATGTGAACCTGGACATTTGGCAATCAATTCTTTTGCATGTTTGAGTAAACTAGCTCTTCCCCAATGTTTTACAAGCTTTGTTTGTGGCTTCTTTGAGGAGCCAGAGGGAAATTCAGAACATAGGGCAATCTGGAGGAAAAAAAACACTACAGTAATCAAACCTTTTTGTTTCAACGAGAGAAAAATAATGCAAAGTAGTTAATTAGATTAAAGTATTTTCCAGGAGTGCATCTTTCTTAACTAACAAAGTAACAAAAACAACTGGCAAATTAAATATTGATTTCTATTTAAGATTTTCACATTATTTTTACTTTGCCTTTTGTTAAAAGTAAGTTGAAGACAAAGCTGTTAGTGCTTGGATCAAATACATCACAAGAAGCTAAATAATTAAGCTTGCATGAGTGAACACTAAACAGGCACGATATCTTACATGTCTGGTCAAGTTCAATTCATAACACAAATGTCACAATGGATGATGCTTGACTATTTTTGCTTACAGGTAATGGAAATGCCAAACTCAGTTTCTGGAAAATAATTAAGTGAAAATCAAAAAAAGATTTTAATAAAGAGATATAGGCATTTCAAAAACATATCAAGTCCTGTACAGAATATGCTTTCCAAATACGTATGCTCATCTTGTATGACTTATTGCATCAATGGGGCAGGGCATGGAGTGGCTCAGCTTAGAGGTTAAAGTAGCTTGTGCTGCTTTAATAAGGGTCCTTCTCTCATCTGTAATGTTGCTCTGGTGTCTCATCTTTTTCCTCAAAACACCTCATAGATTCTCCAAAGGGATTTTGGTCATTTGAGTGTGTTGGTCAATCAAACACATTAAAATAGTCATTAAAGCAGGCATTGATGCTTTTCAAATGTGGGCAATTCACCGATCCTGTGGGGGAGTGAAATCAGACCTTTCCATGAAGGCTGTTCAACACCAAGAAACCAGTCTTTTGTCTAATTAGAGAATGCATAGTGCTTTGTCAATTCTCTGCACATATTCTATGGTTCAGCAGCTTCTTAAGACAGGAATGACCGGTTATTTTTGTTCTTCTCAGCTTTCCTACAATATACGTGGTATAGCCAGCTTTTTACACATCTTTTTGTGACTTACTCTCCCTTTGAAAGGTGTTAATAACTGTCTGTGTGACACCGACATATTAGGCCATAATATGGATATAATATACAGTTGCATTTATGTTTGCTTTTCTATTATAGTTATGACATTTCCTCATTACCAGAATTGCAGTTTTTTACAAGCTGCATATCAGAGATACATTAACAGAAATAAGACCTTAACTATTGCTTTGTGTTAAATAAACCTGTATCACAGTTTACTTTTTTATTTTAATAAACTTTTTAATACTATTTATAGTTGTCTGTTTTGTTTTCAGCAGAAGAATCTGATGGTGCAGCAGTTAAATATTGAAATAAAATGTAAGGATCAGATTGCATCGTTTTTTTTTTGACAACATGGCTTACTACTGAACATTTTGAATAAAGAAATTTGGTCAACCCAGTCTGGCTTCTTAATAAAGCACTTCCATATGTCTAATTGGAGACAGATTTTCTCCATACTGAAATATGACTAAATTGATTTGCTGCAGAGATAATAAGTAAACTTCTTTAAGAAGGCATTTGATTATAAATGTGTATGATGAGGAACATAAAAAAAAAAAACATTGATTAACTCGAATCAGCTGCCTGTTGGACGTTATCAGAATGATGTGCATATAAAAGTCATTGGAAGAGTTTGGTTTTATCTTAGTAAAAAAAAAAAAAAAGATTTAGAGCATAGCACATAAGCAAAAAAAATTATGAACTGCATAAAAAGTGACAAACTATATCTGATGTGATTTCAATGTTTTTCAGAAAAAGAAATCTTGCACATAGCTTTCATGAAACAACACATTTTCCCATTACTTTCGAAATGGCGCCTGCAACTGTTGTTTCATTTAACAGCTACAAACCACCCAACCAACAATCACTCACACAAGTAAGAGAAGACAGAGCAACTAAGAATAGAAACATGTCTTATGCAAATTTTAAAAAAGCAACTCTTAAGACGCCCTCACTAATTTTACTCTCTATCTCATTTCCTTCCTTTCTTCCTCAAGTCCTTCCCAAGGGCTACTTTGAAATCAAAGAAGCTGTGTGCTGTGCTTAAAAGCAATCCTGATTAAATCAAGCTTAATTAGACCAGCTTTATCTGAACAAAACCAGAGCAGAGCAAAGTAGTGCTTATCTCAAATTGCAGCACTACACCTCAGATAGCGAGCTGGTTGGTAAAAAAAAAAAGAAAAAGAAGGGTAGGGCACGAGGTTTGTCTCCAGTGGACCTGAGGAGCAAAGCAGCGAACAACTTGCTGTTCTATAACTATATCAGCTCCCAAGATCTTTAGTAGCTCGTCTGTATGTAGGCTACCTACGACAGATTGGGAGTCTGACAGAAGGCAGAACCTGTTAAGTGCCAGGTAAACATTCATCTGCAACAACTGTGTACAAGAAACTTCTTGACAGCTCCTTCTTCACGTAGACCCGAACATCACAGGGGGCACCTGACACTTTGATCAATTTGTCCTACTTCCAGCTCAACTCCAGCACAATTCATCATTCGTAATGGCCAAGACTTCGGAGCACTTCTAGACTGAGGTTCAGGGGGGAGCAAGTCTGCAGACACGAGGAACCAAAATGACTAAAATTGGAAGCTCACTCCCCAGTTACGTCCCAGACCTCAATTAACTATTTTCCCAAGTTGTCTGAAGCTTTAAAGTTAAGAAACTCTCACAAATATGTTTAATTTAAGAAACTCTTTACAGAACATCCAATGAATCAGTGTAAATAGAAAAAAGGGTTAGACTGAAAGAAAATATTATTTAATAACACATAATCTAGTAATTCTAATCTCAAACTTTCCTAATCACTCCTCATACCATGCCCACTTTAGCTGACATGTCAGTTTTGTTCTTGAAACTAACTTGCCTTATTTTGAGTGAGCAAACCTAAACCAAATAATAGTCTCACTCTTATTACCAGCTGCAGTACATTGCATGATGAGGAATTACAGAAAAGCTAACCTTTTTGCACCTCCAGATCTTTCTGAAGAGGAAATATCCCTCTTTGCTCGCAGGAAATTGCTTTCTAAATGGGTTAAGATGGGCTAAGACCCAGGACATTGACAAACCCTTCCGGTGATGAAACACCTCAGTGGGGACCCTCAGCAAGTCAGTCTGAGGTCTTTTAATGATCTTAATAAAGCTTGTGGCAATGGGGAAGATGGTTAATTTCTTAAACACTTAAACCTTTTAGAGGAGAAATAAAACTCTGGGAAGTTTTACTGCCCTTAACAGTTTCATATCTTTCCTCCTGATGCTTTCAGTCATACAATCATCCACCTTCTTCTTATC